CGAAACCATGTAAATAGTATGGTATTCCGATACCCTCCTCGCTCAGGCGGGGCCTCCCTGGAGGGGTGGGAGGGGCACGAAACCATGTAAATAGTATGGTATTCCGATACCCTCCTCGCTCAGGCGGGGCCTCCCTGGAGGGGTGGGAGGGGCACGAAACCATGTAAATAGTATGGTATTCCGATACCCTCCTCGCTCAGGCGGGGCCTCCCTGGAGGGGTGGGAGGGGCACGAAACCATGTAAATAGTATGGTATTCCGATACCCTCCTCGCTCAGGCGGGGCCTCCCTGGAGGGGTGGGAGGGGCACGAAACCATGTAAATAGTATGGTATTCCGATACCCTCCTCGCTCAGGCGGGGCCTCCCTGGAGGGGTGGGAGGGGCACGAAACCATGTAAATAGTATGGTATTCCGATACCCTCCTCGCTCAGGCGGGGCCTCCCTGGAGGGGTGGGAGGGGCACGAAACCATGTAAATAGTATGGTATTCCGATACCCTCCTCGCTCAGGCGGGGCCTCCCTGGAGGGGTGGGAGGGGCACGAAACCATGTAAATAGTATGGTATTCCGATACCCTCCTCGCTCAGGCGGGGCCTCCCTGGAGGGGTGGGAGGGGCACGAAACCATGTAAATAGTATGGTATTCCGATACCCTCCTCGCTCAGGCGGGGCCTCCCTGGAGGGGTGGGAGGGGCACGAAACCATGTAAATAGTATGGTATTCCGATACCCTCCTCGCTCAGGCGGGGCCTCCCTGGAGGGGTGGGAGGGGCACGAAACCATGTAAATAGTATGGTATTCCGATACCCTCCTCGCTCAGGCGGGGCCTCCCTGGAGGGGTGGGAGGGGCACGAAACCATGTAAATAGTATGGTATTCCGATACCCTCCTCGCTCAGGCGGGGCCTCCCTGGAGGGGTGGGAGGGGCACGAAACCATGTAAATAGTATGGTATTCCGATACCCTCCTCGCTCAGGCGGGGCCTCCCTGGAGGTGTGATATGGTATGGTATGCTATGGTACGCCATGGTATGGTATGGTACGGTATGGTACGTATGGTGTGGTATGGTATGGTACGGTATGGTACGTATGGTGTGGTATGGTGTGGTATGGTATGGTATGGTATGTGATGGAGCGGGAGGTGGGTGGGAAGGAGAGGGTGTTCTGGGAAAACAAGAACCCCACTCAGGATGTGGGGAAATAGTCTGGGGACGATGTTTTGACAATTTCTGAGCATTTGGGGGACATTTTCGGTATTTTTGAATTTTCGCCCAAAATCCCCCTGTAGGGGGACACGCCCGACTTAACCCAAGGGTACCCGGGCATTCTTGCCTCCTCGGTCCATCCTTGGTCACTTTCGTTGGTCGCGCCCCGCTCGGGAGGATTCGAAACGGCCTTCCAGGGCCCCTGCATCCTCATCACGCACCCTTGTGATACGGGCCGACTGTAGGCACGGAAAGAATGGGCACGAAGACCGACAGCAGTTCCTCTTCGTCTTGAACCGGGCTCGCTGTCGGCGTCGCCGCGGCCTGTGTCCAGTTGAGAAAGAGAGAGAGAGAGAGAGAGAGAGAGAAAGAAAGAAAGAGAGAAAGAGAAGGCCGCCTGCCCAACAGCGGCCTCCGTTGGCTTGGACAACACCGGTTGTCGGGCATCGTACCCACCTTTTCCCGTACCAGTGCCGGGCGTCCAAACGCACGCCCCCCGCCATCGCTGTCGGCAGGAAGGCACAGCCACGGCTCGGAGGCACGAGGCGCCCTCCCAGGCCACAACTAAAGAACTAATCCGAGGGCCCTGGCTCCGGGCGTTGCAGTTTTGGCGCCACAGGAGGCTTTGCCTTGACTCGGGCCCCAGGACCGTCACGATTCCATCTGGCTCGAAAATTGCAGCAGAAAGATGGGGACCACAGTCTTCCCGCATAGCGAGGATGGGCAACCTGCCCAGGGGCCCAGGGGTACCCTTGCACCCTTGCCCCTTCGCCCGGCCTTAGCGACTCTCGCTGGCCGACCCCGTTCGAAAACCTTTCTAGCGTGGTCCTCCCAAGGCCCTTGCATCCTTGCCGCGTATCCTTACAGTCGGGGCCCTGAAGAAGGAACCCTTTTGGTTGGGGAGGGGCTCCGCGTTCCCTAAGTGTTTCACAGCTTGCCTCAGGTTTTCCTTATGTTTTCGACCGGAAATCGAAGGTTAACTTATGGAAAAAAGGGGCCTCGTTCTTTATTTTGGGTTCCTTAGGTCAAGGCCCCGACTGTATGACGCGGGTTGACTGGAGATTCTCCGCGATGCGGCGCAGCTTGCTCGCAGCACAGGCTCTCTGGGGGAGTGCGCGCGGGCCTCCAGGAGCCCCCTCGTCGTCACGGTCCTGGACCCAGCTCGTAGCATAGCACAGCGCAGCATAGCATAGCATAGCATAGCATAGCATAGCATAGCATAGCGCAGTATAGCATGGTATAGCATAGCATAGCATAGCATAGCATAGCATAGCATAGCATAGCATAGCATAGCAACTAATGTTGCTTTCCTAGGGGCTCCAACTTCTAGGTAGGGTCCCACTGGGGTAATTAAGGTCCGGTGGCCGGTTCTGAACTGTCGCGCCTCAGTTCGCCCTGCCCAGTTCGGATGCAGCTCCTGGGAGGTGGAATTCTGACGTTGCCCTGGCCCGAAGTCCGGCTTCCTCCATCTCACGTGATATCCCGCTGGATCCGACTTATAGGACTACGGTCGGGATCTTCTGGATAGCGTGTCGCTCCGCCAGGGCCAGTTCTGGCCCACTACGCCTCGGCGCGACACGCTGTCTGCTGACCCCGAGCCAGTCCCAGCCTCCCGCGCCGCGGGGCGGAGCGACACGCCATCCGCTCACAAAGGGATCGCGTGCCGCCGGGGCCGCCGAGGCGGCACGCGAAGCAGAGGTTCCGCGCGGCGGTCGGCCTCTCACCGCTGTGGCTCCCCGGGGCCCGCTCCGGGCCCTGGAGCCCTCGAAGGGCGGCCCTGGATGAGAATCTACTGGGATGACCGTGGGGGTTATTAAGTGGATAGGGGGTGGTTACAAGTGGATACCAAGGTGGGTTATATCTGGCCCAACCTGGCTTATAAGTGGGTTGTAAGTGCCTGAAGTAGCTTAGGGGGGTTAACGATCCAAGCTAAGTGGGCTCCGCCCACTTAGCGGAGTTATCTAACCCCCTAAGCCATTCTGGGCGCCTGTAACCCACTTATAAGCCAGGTTGGGCCAGAAATAACCCACCTTGGCATCCACGCGTACCCCCCCTATCCACTTAGAAACCCCCACGGTCATCCAAGTAGGGCTCCCAGATGGGGTCGGAGCAGATGGGGTCTGAGGATCGCGCGCATCGCCTGTGCATCGGCGACGTCGCCGGGGCATCGCCGATGCGTCGGCGAGGGGCCTCTTGGGGCCATCTTGGGGGCGGTCGGTCAAAAGAGGGGGTGCACTCGATGTAGGTTCTCCCCTCGGGGGCCACGATCCTCGTAAGGGGTGGCAAGGAATGGCGCTCGAAAAAGGAGCCTCCGACACTTCGCGATCCCTCCCAAAGAACCTCAGGGAGGGGAGGGGGAGGGTTCCCCTCCCCGAAGGGAAGAGGGGGTCTCTTGGGAGTCTCTTGGGGGCATCCCGGGGGCCTCTTGGGGGCCTCTTGGGGGCCTCTTGGGGCCTTCTGGCCACCTCTTGGGGCCCTCTTGGGGCACCCTTGGGAGCCTTGGGAGCGCTCTTGGGGCTATCTCGGAGGAGATCGATCAAAGAAGGGGGTCCCTCAATTTGCGCTGCCCCCCCAAGATGCCAAAATGGGACCAAACCCTAGTAAAACTAATGATTTTGGCTTCCTCGCCGAGGCCGTCTTGGACGCTCCGACGACTCGCGGAACGCCCCGTCCAGGTCCAGGGGAGGGGGTAGGGGGAGGGGTCCAGACGCGCTCCCCGCCCGCAAGCCGTCTCGTTCACTCCCACCCGCCCTCCCAACACATGCGTAGCACCCGAGCCTGGCCCGAGCCTCAGCATGTTCAGTAGTCGTCTTTGGATGGGAAGCTACTTGGGGCCAATCCGCCGCCGCCGCCGCCGCCACCGCGCCGCCCGCCGCCGCCCCCGCCGCCGCCGCCGCCGCCGCCGCCCCCGCTGCCGAATCGCCGCCGCCGCCCCCGCCGCCGCCACCGCCGCCGCCACCGCCGCAGCCGCCACAGCCGCTGCCCCCGCCGCAGCCGCCGCCGCCGCCAAGTGTACTCTGTTATTGTTTGTGTGACAGGGATGGTGGGGGGAGGCCGCATCGGGTTCGCTGGAGGCAGAGTGTGTTTTGTTTTTTTCTTACAAGGGATGGTGGGGGGGGTGCTCTCATTGATTCGGGTTGGCTCCCAGTCGCCTGGGGGAGGGGGTGTCTATCAATAGGGAATAGTAATCGAGACTCCCTCCCAGCCCGCAAGCCATCTCGCTCACCCCCACCCGCCCTCCCAACACATACGTAGCACCCGAGCCTGGCCCGAGCCTCAGCATATTCAGCAGTCGTCTTTGGATAGGAAGCTACTGGGGGACAGTCCGCCGCCGCCGCCGCAGCCGCCGCAGCGGCCGCCGCCGCCGCTGCCCGCCGCCGCCGCCGCGCCGCCGCCGCCGCCGCCGCCGCTGCTGCCGAACCGCCGCCGCCGCAGCCGCTGCCGCCGCAGCCAAATCGCCGCCGCCGCAGCCGCAGTCAAATCGCCGCCGCCGCCGCCGCCGCCACCGCCGCCGCATCCGCCGCCGCCGCAGCCGGAGGGTGGGGGGAGGCCGCATCGGGTTGGCTGCGCATGCTCCGAAGTTGGAGGCCGAGTGTGTGTTGGATGTTATATATATAAGGGATGGTGGGGGGAGTGCCCTCATGGTTCATCGTTGGCTACCAGTCGCCTGGGGGAAGGGGTGTTTACTAATAGGGAACAGTGATAAGCCCTTCCCCAAAGTGGAAGAAGGGGGCGGAAGAGGAAACACCCTAAACCACCTACGCCCTAAAAGGCTGGCGGGATTCGATTCAGGTTCGTCCGTAACCATTGTGGCTCAAGCCGTTTTGGCACAGGCCGTTTTTGCTTAAGTGACCGTCGGGTGACCCTCCTCAGCGCGCCAAGCGCCCTTATCTGCGCCTTAGGATATCCCTGGCCCTCGACGCCCCGAACTTCGGGATGGCGAACCTCGCTGACGTCACGCTCCTTCCCGCCGGCGAGCAGCTCCCGCGTCCAAGGCTGGCGACAGCGTGGGCGGAGGCGTCCAGCGCGCCGCCCGTGCCGAGCGCTGGCGTCATGCTCCTTCCCGACGGCGAGCAGCTCCCGCGTCCAAGGCTGGCGACAGCGTGGGCGGAGGCGTCCAGCGCGCCGCCCATGCCGAGCGCTGGCGTCACGCTCCTTTCCGCCGTCGAGCAGCTCCCGCGTCCAAGGCTGGCGACAGCGTGGGCGGAGGCGTCCAGCGCGCCGCCCGTGCCGAGGCAAGCCTGGACTCCCAGGATGGCCCGCGGGCGCCCCGTCGCTGGCAGACCGTCCAGCGGCCACGGTGAAGCCGTTCCAGGCTCTGGCGTCCTCGGCCCGGGCACGATCCGCAGGCTTCATGGGTTGCGACCTCCTCTTGGGCCTCCGGTGACTCTCTACGACCTTCTCCAGATGAAGAGGCGCGGCTTGAGGATCTCCGAGTCTTGCCCAGACAGCCGCACGTCAGGCTGGAACGTGGCCGAAGTGTTCTCGGCGCCCGAGTTGCCAAGAGTGGAGTTGGTCAGTAGCGAGGCACTGAGCCGCCAGACGAGCGACACCGAGTCGACGAGCGACACCGAGTCGACCTCAGACCTCTCCGAGGAGTTCCCCAGGTCTTCTGGTGTGGGCGCCGAGCTCCATCGGAGCAGCCCGATCGCTGGCGAGGATGAGCGGTCGCCGTCGAAAACGAGCTCGTCAGCAAGCGAGGCAATGGGCGGCCAGACGAGCGGCAGCGAGACGAGCGACACCGAGTCGACCTCAGACCTCTCCGAGGAGTCCCCGAGGTCTTCTGGTGTGGGCGCCGGGCTCCATCGGAGCAGCCCGATCGCTGGCGAGGACGAGCGGTCTCCCCCTGTGTCGGGCAGCGTCCGTCCCATTCGCAACGAGCCCTGCAGGCGGAGGGCTGCGTTCGTCCCACTCCCCAGGCCGAAGGAGCATCGCAAGCCCGACCAACCTCGGCGACCGCAAGCGCGACAGACATCGACGACCTCGACGACCGCGAGCCCTCTGGGCCAGAGGATCTGCTGCAGGCCGCCCAACCTCGACGACCGCAAGACCATCCTGTGCTCTGCGGGCCCGAGCCAGTCCGGCAGCGAGCGAGCCAGGCCCGCGCCCCCGGCCGCGGCGGTCCCCGCCCGCGCCCGCCCCAGCCACGCCGGGAGGTCGCTGTCGGCGAGGCCAGCGTGCTCCGCGGGCAGCTGAAGCGCTGCTTTTTGGGGGCAGCTGGGAGGGTGAGAGCTCGCTCGGGGCCTCCCAAACGGTGCAGTGACCGCACCATGTGGTGAGCCAGTGGGGATCAGTGGGGATTCTGGGTGGCCGCACGGTTGAGGACCCGGCGCCTTTCTCCGAGGATGCCTCTTTGGCGATCGGAGCCACCAGGGTGCAGAAACCGTGCGATGGCGGACGGGCCTTGCGGTGAGGTCCACCAGGATTTCAGGGTCACCGCACGGTCTGTCACCGCACCTTTCTGGAATCCCAAGTTTCCCGTTTTTGCGCGCGGCAATGATCACCCGCGACGCCGAATTGTGTATAGTTTGCGGCGTAGTTTGTTGCAGTGGATATGCAGATCGTGCACAGTGCATTGCACTCGCTTGAGTTCAACCAGATTATGCCAGTGCTGCTGCCAATCACATTGTACAGGTGTTCAACCAGGTCATGCTGCTGAATCCAGTCGCGATGCCAGTGCGCTGTCCGCATGATTGAATTTATAATGCATGTGTTCGCCCGGGAAGGGAAGCACGACATGCAAACAACAGATCTCCGATACAGGGCCGAAAGCAGGCCAGACATCCAATAATTCTACCTCAGGCCCGGTCCAGGACCGACCCCTTGCTACCTTTGTCTCGGTCCATGACCGACTCCCTGCCAGCGGACTTCAGCAGCCAATGTGCATATTTTCAGTTCTGCGGTCCTCAGGTTGACCGTCACGGTAGAATGGTACAGGGTACAGTCAAACGTTGCAGCCATGGTGCATGTGCGTTTTCTCTTCGGCCCCAAAGATTGATCGCCACACTATAGTGGTACATGCAAACATCGCATCGCATTGCGCCCCCTTTGCACGTTCAGGACAGTGCTGGTACGCATCACATGGGCCCCTGAACCCACGTCACAACGTCACAGCTTGGCGGCAGATGACGATCCAATTCGCGCGCGATATAGCTCCAATGCAGCCAGCGCGGGACATCAGGGAATCGGTGTTGCGGAGGGGATGGGGAGGATGAGGAGGAGAAAGGGGAAGGGGGTGGAGAAGGAACGCGCGCGAGCGAGAGGACGTCGATGGACGGGGCAGCTGGCTCTGTCTGTGCATGCGGCAGTGGTCTGGAAGGTATGACCTACCGATGCAGGCAGCGCGTAGGGGCCCTTTCACTCGAGTGCCCACGCTTGGTGCTCACATCACTGTGCTTCCTCGGTCGGCTTGCGGGGACAGCCGGGTGCAGCCAGCATGCTGCAATGCTCCCTCGCGGGCTGGCGCAATACGACAAGTGTCGGGGGAAAGTGGGCTTGCCCAGAGACCCTGCATGCTTTGAATCCCCATTGATTCTGCACATGCTGTCCTAGAACTGAAGCTCGCGCAAATGTTCAATCTCAAACGCCTTGATGACCCAAAAGTGGTCGACGGACTCAAGCCCGTTGCTATCCCTCAGAAAGACTGGCACCACACGCTGAAGGTGGCCTACGCTCGGGACACTTCTCCTTTCGTCTGCTTTCCTCCTCATCTGGTGCCCCGAGCACCAGCAGGGTCGCCAGCGGGCATCATTGCGGTCAGTTTCCGACAGATGCTCGCGCACGGCACCATCCATTCTTTTTGTGTATGGCCGCCCCCAGCACGCCGCATACAGCAGCGATGCTCGCGCACGGCACCATCCATTCTTTTTGTGTATGGCCGCCCCCAGCACGCCGCATACAGCAGCGATGCTCGCGCACGGCATCATCCATTGTTTTTGTGTGGCCGCCCCCAGCACGCCGCCTGCAGCAGCTTATCCTTCTTTCCCCTTCCCTCTTCTCCCCCTGACATCGGACTGATCACTGATCAGAGCTGCACTTGATGCTCTGGAGACCGAGAGCGAACTGGTGCAAGACAGACCACCGAGAAAAAGAGAGGAGGTGTGTGAGCCACCACCTACCTGGGGCGCCACGGACCAAACGAGTCGACAGGGGCCCGGGTTGATCGGTTCGCTATCTTTTCTTTGCGCCCTTCGGATGCGATGGCAGTGGACGCGGCATTCGGGGTCCTCCTCATCCATGCTGCCCAAAGGCAGTGATGGGGACGGTCTCGGCAAGATTGCCTCGCTACCACGCCCGGCACCTATCTGAATAGCTTGCCTCCCCGCTCCTCCATCCTCCCGAAGGACGTTTGGTGCACGCCGTGGGCAAATCTTCATTCATGCCCACGTTGCGTGCATCTCGAGTGCGATCAGTGAATACAGCATGAGTGGCGCACGAGTAAAAAAGATCGACTCAGGTTCGACTCAGGTTCGACTCAAGGTCGGCTCGAATCGACTGACGTTTGACGCAGCTTCGACACACGAGTGGAGCGAGTGGCTCCAGGAAGGTCCCCAGAATGAGCAGCTGAGTCCAAGGCAAGCGGGGGTCGGGTCGGCCAGGGCGCCATATCTTGCATTAAGTCGGGCCAGTCCCTCCACAATGGGAATGTTCGAAAATAGTCCAAAAATAGTCAGGGGACGATTTGTGACTATTTTTGTGCACTTTTGGTGCATGTTTGGAGTATTTTTACGCTATCGTCCAAAATCCCCCTGTAGGGGGACAGGCCCGACCTAAAGCTCGCAGGATCCTGCAGAGCCAGGGGCGCTACTGGCCCAGGTCGGCGCGCCGGCCGGATCCCGCAGATCGGCGGCGAGCGAGGGGGGGAGGCGAGAAGGCTTAAGTCGGGCCTGTCCCTCTACAGGGGGCATGTTCAAAGAATAGCCTGGGGACTATTTTTTGACCGATTTTGAGCATTATTAGTGCATTTCTTTTTTGTTTGTTCAATATGTATATATATATATATATATATATATATATATATATAAAACCAAAAAACAGAAGAAAACAGGGGAAAAAAAAAAACATCCAAAATCGGCCTGTAGGGGGACAGGGTCGACTTAGAGAAGGAGGAGGCCTTCTCGGAAGGCGGCGGGGCTTCTCCGGAGCCCTCCGGCCTCCTGAGAAGTCCTCGGCGTCTTCGGGGGAGGCGCAGAGAACGTCGGAAGGCCGGGGGGCTCCCGAGCCTTCTGAGAAGTCCTCGGCGTCTTCGGGGGAGGCGCAGAGAGCGTCGGAGGGCCGGGGGGCTCCCGAGCCTTCCGAGAAGGCCGGGCCTTCTCTTTCTCGTGTCCCCCCCCCCTCGCTCGCAAGCAAATTCGGCAGGGAGCGAGGGGGGGGGGCCGAGATCTGGGCGGCGCAGGTTCGATCCCTGGGGCCCTCTCGCGGCTTCCGCGGGGAGATGGGTTCCAGAGCTGCGGCCGCAGGTTCTGCACTTTTGTGGCAACGTCGGATCTTTTGGGAGCTGTATCGGTGCACTGTGGGTTCCCCAGGGCCGGGGGAGTAGGATTGGGCTGCTTCTGCTGCTTCTGCTGCTGTGTCTTTGTGGGGTCTCTCCTCGAGGCTTCTGCAGTGGCCCTGGGCGGGCCTCCTGGAGGCCTCCGCCTGAGAATCTCTCGACTGCCCTGATATGCTCAATCAATCCGCGAGCGGCCCGCACATGCTCGAGGCCGACAATTGCAAAACACATCCGTCGTAATCTCATGGCCTTAATAAGCCCATCCCGCTGCCGTGCCTGGGCTGTGAGTATGGGGCCTATTGGATGTTCGTTGGGATCTCGTGAGAGGCCTCTCGGGGGCCTCTCGGAGGCAGGTTTTGATGCCTCTTTGGGGCCGTTTTGGGGCCTCTTGGGGCCTCTTCTGGGCCTCTGGGGGTCACCTGGGGATCCAAGGGCACAGTGGCGGATATGTTTTCAGATCTTATAGATACAATATCGTGATACATCGCGACGGGTGCACCATTATTTTTCGGTCCGTAGCCATTTTGGCTCAAGCCACTTGGGCTCGCGAGCTGTAACTGTCAGGCCAGGTGGGCAGGAGCAGCGGCCTGGCCCTCGTGGCCCAGGCTCCCCGCGTAGGGTAATCCGCGCGCGAGGCCCGTGCCGGATGCCGGGCGGCCGTGGCGGCGGGCGCGGGCAGGCTGCTGGCAGGGCGTCGCCCGGCAGCCGGCAGCTGGACCCAGGCGTGCTCCCAGGGCCACGGGAGCCATGCTGGGGCTGTCGGTGCGGACGCGCGGGGAGCTGGGCCCGCCGCGTGCGCTGCCAGCGCGGGCTGCGCCGCAGCGGACCGCCAGCGCGGCCCGGGGGGGCGGCGAAGGATTGGCAGACGCGCGCGCGGACGGCGAAGCCGGACGTGCCGCGTCGCCAGCAGTGCCGGTGGCGAGCCGGCTGGGGCGGCTGGGGCGGCTGGGGCGGCTGGGGCCTCGTACGCGGAAGCTGTGAAACGTTGCTGCCCCCGCCTTGCGGCGTTGCAGCGCCTGGCGATGTTCCCATGCACCCACCCCCGGCAGGTGGTTCGCAGCAGGACCCGCCTGCAGCCGACCTGAGTCCTGCGCAGCGGGAACTCAGGGACTGGCGCGATCGCTGGGCGGCCGCCCAACGCTATGGGGCGGCGGCGGACTTGGCGGAACGCGACCGCCAGCTCCAGGCCTTGGAGCATGCTGCTCAGGCTTGGCGCCCGTGGGCAGTCTGGGCGCAGGCCGCCACGGAACTTCGAGGCCGAGGCAGCCAAAGCGGAGTTGGCCTTGCAGAAGGCCGATGCCACGCTGCTGGCTGTTCAGGCGGAGGCGGCTCTGGCCCGCGCACCGCCTGCAGCGGCGGATTTGTCCGTGGCCGGCGTCGCGGTGGCTTTCGACACTCTCGCAACTGCCACTTCGGTGTTGCAGCAGCGTGGAGGCAGCGCCGGAGGCGGCGGCGACGCCGCGGTGCTCGTCGAGCAGCTTCGGGCGCTGGTCGCCGCGGCGGTGCATGGGGCCGCTGCGGAGGCTCATGCCGCTGGCGCGGCGGGGCCAGGGAGGTGCCGCCGCCTCCGTGCCTGCCGCAGCCGCCGGCATCGCTGCCCCCCCACGCGCTGGTGCCCCCGCAGGTCCTGGTGCTCCGCCGCCGCCGGGAGGCGGCGATGCTGGCGGCGCGGGGGCCACTGCTGGCGTTGCGCCGCCAGGGGGCGCAGCTGGCGGTGCTGCGCAGCGCGGGGACGCGCCCAGGTCGTGGCGCGAGGTGGCAAGCACCCACCACGCTGCGGAGGCCAGGCGGCAGGTCACGTTCTGGCAACGCGCGGACCGCCAGCGGCCTACCTCCAGGCGGGGCCGCTCGCGGAGCGCCGAGCGGGGCGGAGCGGCCGGCGCTTGAGCGCAACTTGCGCTGCTGGTGCTGCTGCTGGGGGCGCCGGAGGCGCCCAGGGGGCCGCGGGTCGTGGAAGAACCCTGCTTCGACCACCTGTCTCCCGAAGGGCTAGTGGGACTTAACGCTAAGCCTCAAGATGCCTTCGGGCCCACGCCGCGAACACATCGAGACGTCAGTCGTATGGTTTTGGGGAAATGGGTGTAAGGGAAATCGCATATAAATATACATATATGTATGCATGTGTGTATGTATGTATGTAAGTATGTATGTATGTATGTATGTATTGTTGTATGTATGCATGTATGTAAGTACGTACGTACGTATGTACTTATGTACGTATGTACGTATGTACGCATGTGTTCATGTATGTATGTTTGTTTGTATGTGTATATGTACATACAAGACTGCAGTGGCGCTTCGCGCCATGCACCTTGGTCCTTGAAGTTTGGTATGCAGGCGGGATCGCAGGAAGGCCAAGCCGACAATTTAGCGATACTCCTGGTTGCCTTTTCTGGCATCGCCGCTATGATAATGTTATTCGTTATCCTTCCTCCCTGCTTTTTTATTTTCGCCATGCCCTGCGCATTCATCCCATCCTCCTCAGCTCTTTTTTGCGGAGGCTCCTCCTTGGAGATCCTCTAGGGGCCTCACAAAAGTTGTTTCAGGCTTCCTTAAGGCCTTCTGGAGACCTCCTGGGCGTATTCTGGGGGCCTCCGGGGGCTTCCTCGGGCCACCCTGCCTCCAAACGCGGTTTCCCTGAACGACCGAATCGCGATTTGGAATTATTCGGAGGGTGTCTTTGGGCCATCTTGGGCCGCCATGGCCCTCGCCGAGGGCCATCTTGGACCCGTGTTGTGCCGTTTCGGGGCTCTCTTGGACTGCCTGGAAGCCCTTTCGGATGGTTGTTAGGCGATGTTGGAGCCACCCAGGCGGCTTCGGACGCCCAGAAGACCGCCGTCTTGGAGCGTCGGGAAGCCGAGAAGAGGAGAACCCTAACATTCACCAGAAACCAACAGAAAATCAATGATTTTTGCCTCGGGGGGCCCTCTTGGGAGTGCTCTAGGAGGCATCTTTGGGGCCGTCCTGGAGGCCTCTTGGGCCATCTTGAGGTCACGTCGGTCACTCTTGGAGCGCTCTTGTGCTGTCTTGGGGGTCTCTGGGACGTCTCCGATGACCCCCCTGATCGCCCTAGGTGTACTGGGAAGGCTTGGCAAAACGCCCTGCGAGGCCCGGGGGGCCGCTTCGAGGCCCGTCCGGAGGGTCCCAAAGCCCCAGATCCCGGGAGTCTGGTTTTTTTGGGGGGGGGTGATGGGTTTTCTCCCCTTTCCGGGTTTATCAAATATAGGAAGAGGAATAAATGTGTGTATATATATATATACACGCACATATTAGTTCTTTCCAAAAAAATGCGCTTGACGCTCGCCGTTCCCGTCGCCGAGACCTCCCTCCCCTCCTTGGCCTCCTGATTATCATTTTCCCTCCCCCCCTGTCCGTTCCCCGACAGACTGCCAGACACGTTGCCACGATATGATGACAGATAGACATGGATTTTTCGGTCTGCTGAGGGGATCGGAACTGGGGGGGCTCCCTGGAGGGCGTTAGGGGACTCCCCGCCCCGACGACAACGCCGACGCCGCCGCCGACGACGCCGATGCCGACGCCGCCGACGCCGCCGACGCAGACGTCGACGCCGACGCCGACGCCGACGCCGCCACCGACGACGACGACGACGCCGAGCTTCTCCCACGCTTCGCGAGCTGTGGCGCGCGGGCCCAGAAGCTGCCGAGCTCCACCGTGCTGGGGGGGATCTGACCCCGAGCTCTGCCGGCGCATACGCCGCTTCCAGCCGCACGTGCGGCCCTGGAGGGGCCCCGAGGGCCTCGCGGGCTCCCCGCCCTCGCCCCCCATCGCAGGGTCGCCGTCGCCGGGCCTCCTCCGTCCCCACGGGGGGCGCCGAGGCCCGACGGGGGGCCCGACCGGCCGTCCGCCCGCTGGTCGGGCGGCTCGAGCCCTCGGCCCCGTCGCGCCCACGCCTCGGCACGGTGCGGCAGCGAGCGCAGACGGGGCGGGCGAGGAGGAGGAGGAGGTCTTCTCACGAGGCGGCAGGCTTCTCGGAAGGCCTCGGGCCTCTCGAGAGGTCTCCGGTGTCTTCGGGGAAGGCTGCGAAGACTTCTCAGGAGTCTGGGGGACTTCCGAGCCTCCTCAGAAGGCCCGCCCCTTCTCACTTCCCCTCCTCGCTCGCCGCCGAACAGTGTCAGCTGCCTTGCGCAAGTGTTCGTGCGGATGCCCCACTGTCGCGGCTGCTGATCAGGCCAGCCTTGCCAAACACAAGCGCACGCCGCGCCAAAAATTTGTCCCTGCTTGACTGCGCCACGTGTCATCTGGCTTGCGCGCGCCACATTGCCCTTCGAAGCACGACGTTACTTGATCTGCATGCCCTCTCTCTTCGGTCGCGAGTGTACGTCTCCTGTTATCACCAGCTCATCACCCAAATCATATGTTTCACGTCGTGGATGCTATCACCGCAGTTGCACTTGGTTGTCGACCTACTGACTTGCTTCTCCTATCAAGCCGAGCTGCGGCAGCCCTCTGTCCACTGGCGGTCGTAGATTCGCGCAGTGCAGGTCGTGTACGACGTTAGAGTAATGTCCCTGTGCAACGTGGCCATGTACACCGAGAACGTGCTGGAGTTCCGAATGACGCTCACCTCGGCGATCCCGGCAAATGGCGGCTTTGTCTTCGAGGAACCCCTTTTCGGCAGAGTTTGGGCTTGCAGGCCCGCTGGCACGAATGTCAGGAGGAAAAGAAACACACAGACACAACTAACCCTCGATTCCCCAGAAAATATGGGAAAATATGGGAAGTGGGGGGAAGACAGAAACCCAGAAAGTATGGGAAATGATAGGGAACTGTTTTATTTGTGTGTATTTATTTGTGTGTCCTGTGGCTCCTTCAGAATGGTTTTTCCGTGGTGTGGCGAGTCTCTCTCCCTCTTCGGGGAGCGCGGAGGGAGGAGGCAGCCTGTGGCACGCGTGCGGTGCTGGGCCAATCTTGTGAAACAAGGAGCAGCACGAGGGGGACGATGAAGTGGAAGACCGATTTCTGACCACATCCACCTCTGGATCCTCGATTCTATGATAGGCCCTCGGGGGTGGAAGTGGGTAGTTTTCCCTTCCCCTGGGGCGGGGAAACTGCCCACCTCCACCTCTGGAAACCGCTTTTCGCAAGGCACCTCGGGAAGTGGGTGTGGTCAGAAGTCGGTCTCCTATGAAGATGAGGGGCAGTCGTGATGCGAGCAGGACAGATGCGTTCTTTGCCCCCCACCCGTCAGCTTTGGGCTGGTGTGCATTTCGGGAGCAGGGCCCCCGACCCGCCTCGCACACTCTGCGTGCCGCGGCCGCCGGGCCCCGGGTGCCCGGGTGGTCCTTGGGGTTCCCGTCTCGTGGTTGCGAGCGCCAGCAACTGCATGCCGCAGCCGCCAGACTCCGAGTGCCCCGTTGATCCTTAGGGATCTCGCTTCGCGTCGTCGGCGAATAACGACCTAAACGAATACACGACTAGGCTAGACCAGCAGAAGAGCATACACGCACACTTTGCGGAAGGCGTGGCAGGAACGACGCTCATCAAACACACGTACTCAACACGCCTAGGTTGCATACACACATAACACCATACACGACATACACACCACACGTATGAACCAGACACGCCTCACAGTCCAATGGCGACATTGAGCAGGCACACGCACAAGTATACATAGAGATATTCATATATATATATATATATATGTATACGTATACGACTATATATATGTGTGTGTGTGTGACCAGGCGTGACTAACAGAGAACAGTGCAATGGAGGCATCACGCCGTCCAGGGGTCACAAGGACACGTCGTCCACGGACATCTTGGTTAGACGCCAAGAGCATGCACCACAAACTGACAACACGAAGAACGTGAGTGCATGAGTAGCACGTGCGTAGACAGCACGCCGCAAGCCCAGGCATGACCCAAAGGAAGACATCGAGGACACACACCGAACAGAGGCACCAAACACGTACACCAACATCATAAACTAAGAGCATGCAGAAAAGCAGTGGCATCAGTAGCACTCATTTAGTACATACATTATTGACAAGTGTTTAACGAGCCCGCAGCAATCGCATACATCACACTTCAGCACTTACGGCGTATGCCAAAAACAGGTGTCAAGAGCACGTGCCAGGAATAACCAATCCATATACACACCAGAACGCAGAAAGTAAGAACGACGGACTCTTCTACAAATCAAGAGCACACACGCTGCAGAACGTGCCCAAACACTAGACCTCAAGCACAGACATCAAGAAGACACATCAAGAGCAACCTTCACAGACCATACATCAAACACATACATGGAGAGCAGACACCACGTCTCGACCAAGAACCGGCACCAATAGCATACACCAAATATTGGCATCAAGAGTAGACATGAAAAACATACCCCGGCAATACACGTCAAGAGTAGACAATACACCAGGGACCCGCATCACCAGAACAGACATACACTGGGGATGCGCATCACCAGGGACATATGTCAAGAACGGGCATGCGCCATGAATAATCACAGTGTCATACACCAAGGACACGCGTCACTCACATACACCTGGTGAAGCTTTGTGGTCGCGCTCCCTCTTCCTTAAAAGCAATCACCGGGGGCACACACTCATCAAACACATGCCCCGAAAGCAGACGGCAAACACAGACCTCAACACATACCTCAAGACGATGCATCAAGCATAGTCAGGAACATACACCAATGACATCCAGGAGTACCATACACCAAGAGCAGGTTCCACGAGCCGAATCTGACATCACACATCACATACAAGCGTCACGAGCGCACATCAATATCATAGTTCCGTGAATATGTGACAACAAAAACCATCAATCACATTCATTGAGAACATCGACCATTAACAAACACTAGCAACGCACATCAAACACATGGCCCAATAATCCACAGCGAAAACATACAAGCGCAACAGGCATCTACAACACGCACATACACACCAGGAACAAACATCAATCGAGTACACTCGGACATTACATGATATCGGAAAAAAATCCCAATCAAAGTCTTCCTAGGGCTACATGGCTATGGGGCTATTGGGCTATAGGGCGATGGGGCTATGGAGCTATAGGGCTATGGAACTATAGGGCCATAGGGCTGTAGAGCTATAGGGCGATAGGGCCACAGGGCTGTAAGGCTATAAGACTGTAGGTCTATGGGGCTATTGGGCTATAGGGCTATTGGGCTATGGGGCTGTAGGCTATAGGGCTATGAGGCTATAGGGCTATAGGGCTACAGGGCAATAGGGCTATAAGGCCATAGGGCTATAGGGCTGTAGAGGTATAGGGCTATGGGGCACTGGGGCTATGGGGCTATAGGGCTATGTGGCCATAGGGCTATGAGTCTATAGGGCTATGGGGCTATAGGGGTATCAGATCATAGGGCTGTAGGGATATATGGCTATGGGGCTATAGGGCTATAGGGCGATTATCAAATATAGAGCAGTAGGGCTATAGGGCTATGAGGCTGTAACGCTATAGGGCTATATGGCTATAGGGATCTAGGGCTATAGGGCTACTGGGCTATGGGGGTGTATGGCTATAGGGCTATGAGGCTAGAGGGCTATTGGGCTATAGGGCTCTAGGGCTATAGAGCTGTAGAACTAGAGGGCTATAGGGCGATAGGGATGTAGGGCTGTAGTGCTTTAGGGCTATAAGACTATTGGGCTATTGGGCTATGGGGCTATTGGGCTATAAGGCTACCAGGGCTACAGGGCTATAGGGCTATAGGGCTTCATGGCTATAAGGCACCCGGGCACCCGGGCGGGCCGCGCAAGCGCAAACCGGTGGCAAACCTCACCCGGAGAAAAAACCCAGGGCTATAGGGCTAGTGGGCTATATATATATAGGGTTATAGGGCTATTGTATGGAGATATAGAGCTATAGGGCTATGGAGCTGTAGGACTATAGGGCTATAGGGCTATTGAGCTTCTGACCTATAGGGCCCCCCCAGGCACCCCCTGGCACCCCCGGGCACGCCCGGGTACGCCCGGGCACCCGGGCATCCGGGCACCCGGGCACCCGCTGGCACCCCCGGGCCCCCCCGGGGCACCCAGGCGTGCAGCGAAAATCGGCGGCCAACCTCACCCACAGGCACCCCCGGGCACCCGGGCACCCGGGCGTGCGGCGCAAATCGGCGGCAAACGTAACCTAACCATATGAATCCGCTAGGACCACTACAGAAGCAAGCTCTGATTGGGGAATGAATCCGCTAGGACCCCTACAGAATCAAGCCCTGATTGGGGAAGTTCGACGCACTGGAGTTGGGGATCGTTCGAAACATAACAATGGTGCTTAGTATAGCCTTCGGACACCCAGCGCGCAGCGTGCATCGAGGAAGGAGAGGAGGGGATCACCAGTAGCAGCCGATGTTCGGTCGTCCTCCTTCTGGTGTTTATCCCTCTCCCCTCTCCCTTTCCATCTCCCCTCGAGACTCATTCCATATTCTCCCGTTCCATCTCCCGTTCTGGCTCAGCCCAGATTTTCCGGGTCGAGCACCTCAGTTCCGAGCGCCAGACCATCCGTCCCGGCCCCGCTCGCGCCAGCCCGTGCCCTGAGGTCCTGAGGGCCTTCTTGAGGCCCCTAGAAGCATCCGGAGGCCCCTCCCGCTCGCCGACTCTCGTCCGTAACGGGTCAGCCCATTCTGGGTCGAGCACCCGGGTTCCAAGCAAGCGCCAGACCAGCCGCCAAAGGCCCCGCTCGCGCCGGCCCCTTCTCGCGCCGTTCGGAGACATGCCCGCCGTGCTCGGGAACGAGGCCGGCAGGGCCGCGGCCGTGGGCGCGCTGGGCCTCGCCGCCGCCCACGGCGCGCTCGGCTTCGTGTCCACCGCCCCCGCCGCCGCGGCCCGGGCCGCCCCCGCCGCGCAGCCGGCCGCGCGGCACAGCGCGGGTGGGCCGACGGCGCCCGGCGCGGGCGGCGCCGCCTTCGGCGCCAGCGCCGCCCTCGGCGCCGCCGCGGTGGCGGCCTCGGCGGGCCGGCGGCGCGCGGCGGGTGGGCGCGCCGGGCGCGCGCAGCGGCGCGCCCAGGTGGCGCCCGGGGAGAAGGTGGTGGGCATCGACCTCGGCACGACGAACTCCGCCGTGGCGGCCATGGAGGCCGGCACGCCGACGATCATCCCGAACGCGGAGGGCGCCCGCACCACCCCCAGCGTGGTGGCCTACTCCAAGAGCGGCGAGATGCTCGTGGGGCAGATCGCGAAGCGCCAGGCCGTGATCAACCCCGAGAACACGTTCTACTCTGTCAAGCGCTTCGTCGGCCGGACGGCGGCCGAGGTCGAGGAGGAGCTGAAGGAGGTGTCCTACACCGTGGAGACCGTGGGTTCCAAGCTCAAGATCGACTGCCCGATCGCCGGCAAGCAGTTCGCCCCCGAGGAGATCTCCGCGCAGGTCCTGCGCAAGCTGGCCGCAGACGCCGGCAAGTATCTGAGCGCCACCGTCAGCAAGGCCGTGGTCACGGTGCCCGCGTACTTCAACGACTCGCAGCGCCAGGCGACCAAGGACGCGGGCAAGATCGCGGGGCTGGACGTGCTGCGCATCGTGAACGAGCCCACCGCCGCCTCGCTGGCGTACGGCCTGGAGAAGAAGTCCAACGAGACCATCATGGTGTTCGACCTCGGCGGCGGCACCTTCGACGTCTCCGTGCTTGAGGTTGGCGACGGCGTCTGCGAGGTGCTGTCCACCAACGGTGACACCCACTTGGGAGGAGACGACTTCGACAAGGTAATCGTCGACTGGCTGGCCATGGATTTTAAGAACACTGAGGGCATCGACCTGCTGAAGGACAAGCAGGCCCTTCAGCGGCTGACCGAGGCGGCCGAGAAGGCGAAGGTCGAGCTGTCTGGCGTACAGGAGGCCAAGATCTCGCTGCCGTTCATCACCGCGGACGCGACGGGCCCAAAGCACATCGACAAGACGTTGTCGAGGGCCAAGTTCGAGCAGATCGCGGCTGACCTCATCACCCGCTGCAAGCAGCCGTGCGCGAACGCCCTGAAGGACGCGAAGCTCTCGTCCTCGGACATCAACGAGATCGTGCTGGTGGGTGGCTCAACTCGCATACCGGCCGTCCAGAAGATCGCCACCGAGATGGCGGGAGGCAAGAGCCCCAACCAGAGCGTGAACCCGGACGAGGTCGTGGCCGTCGGCGCGGCGGTGCAGGCCGGCGTGCTGGCCGGCGAGGTGAAGGACATCGTGCTGCTGGACGTCACGCCGCTGTCCCTCGGCGTCGAGACGCTGGGCGGCGTGGCCACCGTGCTGATCGGCAGGAACACGACGATTCCCACCAAGAAGACCGAGGTCTTCTCCACCGCCGTGGACTCGCAGCCCTCGGTGGAGATCGTGGTCTTGCAGGGCGAGCGCCAGTTCGCGAAGGACAACAAGATCCTGGGCACCTTCCGGCTGGACGGGGTGCCGCCGGCACCCAGGGGCGTCCCGCAGATCGAGGTGACGTTCGACATCGACGCCAACGGCATCCTCAACGTGGCCGCCAAGGACCGCGGCACGGGCAAGCAGCAGACCATCACCATCACTGGCTCCACCACCCTCGACAAGAACGATGTCGACAGGATGGTCAAGGACGCGGAGGCCAACGCCGCAGACGACGAGAAGCGCAAGAACGCGGTGGAGACGAAGAACCAGGCGGAGTCGCTGGTGTACCAGACCGAGAAGCAGCTGCAGGAGCTGGCGGACAAGGTGCCGGCGGACCTCAAGGCCTCTATCGACCCGAAGTTGGCGGCCCTCAGGGAGAAGGTCGGCGAGGCGGAGCCCGACACCGAGCTCCTGAAGAAGATGACCAAGGACCGCGCGGCTCTGCGCGCAGACGGCCCCAAGAGGTGAATAGCAGTGGCCTCAGCGAGGCCCCGGCCGCCTCCAGGGATTGCCTGTGTGCAGTTTCCGAACCCAGACCCCCAGTCGACGTCGTGATTTTTTGTTCGCAGCGTCGACCGCCAGAGGTCTGGACCCCTTCCCCTGGACCGGCTTTTCATCCTGAGTCGTTTTTCGACGGTCCCGAGGCCCAGGAAGGGCCCTGGGAGTCCGAAAGCAGCGAAAAACCTCCCGTCGCGATTTGCGAACAACGCGAGGGGGTCTTGGAAGCCTTGGCGGCCAAGGACCTGCAGGAGGAGCTGATGAAGGTCGGCCAGGCGGCCTACGCGAACACCGGTGGCGCTCCGGCTCCCGAGGGTGGCGCCCCGCCCCCGCCCGGCGGCGCCGCCGGCAAGAAGCCCAACGACGTCATCGACGTGGACGGCCAGTAGGCAGCATGCACTCCTCGGCAGCAGGCCCGTGGGCAGTGGGCGGTAGACGTGGACGGTCAGTAGCCGAAGAAGAAAAAATGCGTAAACTTGAAGTTTTGGCGCTCCGCGCGGATTTCTTGGATCCGCGCTGGGCCCCCCTGGCGGCGCCTCCTGCGCCGCCCCTGGCGCGCTCCGCGCGCCAGGGATGGGGGTCCAGCGCCGAACCAAGAAATACGGGCGGACCATCGAAAGTTCATGTTTATATCGTGTTTTCTTCCTCTACATTAGGCCAGCGGACCCTCCTGGCCCTGCTGTGGAGGGGGGGCTCGTCGACGCGTTCGCTGTCCCGCGCAGTTTTCATCCACACATTGTGGGTAGTTACAGGCCGGGCGGCCGCGGGCGCCCGTCGGATGTTACAGTTCTTCAAGACCGTCCGAGGCTCGACCATGTCTGTTGGACAGTTGGACATGCCCTTGATCCTCGTCCTCGGTTCTTCTGTTTTTTGAAGGCTTGCCGCAAGAACAGCGTGCGTTCGTGGTAGTCTAGCTCCTCTGTTCCCAGTGCCAGTGACTCAGCGCCGCACTTCGCGCCACTGCGCGTGCTTTTGCTTTCGGCAGCTGCTCTTCCAGACGCCCTGCGCAGGAGTTTCAGCGACGCGGTTTCGCAAGATGTGGGGGGGGGGCGGAGGGGTATAGGGCTGCTGACGAGGAGACGGGGGAGTAGAGCCCAGACATGCGAAGTCTTGATTTCTTCAGCACGGCGTCCCCGGAAGTCCCGACCCTTTCCCGGGGTCGGTTTTTCATCCTGCGTCCTGCCCCGCGAGGGCCTCCAGAGGCCGAAAACGTCGAAAACCTTGCGTCCTGACTTTTGTTACGACGCGAGCACGTCTGGGAGGGAGGAGGGAGGAGGCTGGGTGAGCAGACCTGGAAGACTGTGAAGAGCGGCTCGCGCTGCACGGTGGTCTTCACCCCGGGCGGGTCTCTTGCGTCAGGCGTGTCTCGGTGCCGCCGCGCCTCCCCATCCCCCCCCCCCCTTGCGCCGCGCCGCTGGCCGTGGCGTAGGTCGCAAACCTGGGCGCCTCGCGAAGCCCCACCACCCCATCCCGAAGCGATGTCAAGGCAAGTTGCCACGATCAGGGATGTGGAGGAGCATGCAGTGGAACAAAGGCTGGGAAGGCCGTCATACCGGGACGGCCTCCCCCTGGTTTGCCGGGTACCGTCATACCGTCATACCGGTTCTGCGCGCGGCGATTTGGCCTTGCGCCCTTCCGTGTTCGCTCGGGCCGGCCCGATTTCGCTAGGGCCGCGCTCTCGGGCAGCAGTGCCCATCTGGCCACATGTGCTGCCGCCACGCATGTTCTAAACTGGTTCCTGGGGTTGTTGTTAAGGTTTGGGGTGCTTGATCATTGGCTATACCCCAATGGGGGGATGGGGGAGGAATCGGAGGGAAAGGGGGTAGGTGGAGAGGGAGGAGGGGAACAGGCGGACGAGGAGGAGGATGAGGGCGAGCAGAAAGGCCAAAGGCCTTTTGGATGCCTCTATGAGTCTCTTCGGATGTCTCTTGAGAATTTCTTGGGGTCCACTTGGGGGGTCTTGGGGGCCTCTTGGCGGTCCCAGGGGCCTCTTGGAGCGTCTGGGGTGCCTCGGGAGAGCTTTGGGGGCCTCTTGGGGGTCTCTTGGGAGCCTCGTGGGGGCCTCTTGGGGACCTCCTGGGGGCATCTTGGGCGCCTCCTGGGCGCATCTTGAGGCACTCTTGGGAGCCTTGGGGGCCATCTTGGAAGAGATCAGTCAAAGAAGGGGGGGTCCTCAATCAGGGCCGCTCCTTGGAGCCGTCGGAATCACGTATTGGACCTCTCATGGGGCGCTCTTGGGGCGCTCCTGGGTCCCCTTGGGGCTCTCTTGGGCATTTTTGAGCCGTCTTGGGGCCTCGGAGGGCCATCGAAAGCGAAACGGAAAGAATACACCCCAAATTAGTGTTCCGTAGGTGTTTTAAGGATCTTGGTGTCTTGCTGGTTTCCTTGGGAGGCCCTATGGAGACTTTGAGCCATCTTGGGCTGGTCTTGGGGCCGCTTGGAACATGTTGGAAGCCATCTTGGGTTCTGTTGAGTTGTGTTGAGCCATCTTGGAGGTCCTCTTGGGCTCTCCGAGGCCCTTTTGAAGCTATATTGGGCTCTCTGACCGCACGCCGTCCCCCTCCCCCGTCCAGATCCAAGGGGATGGGGCAGGGGAATGGGTCAAGACACCCCCCCCGCCTGCAAGCTATCTCGCTCACTCCCACCCGCCCTCCCAACACAGAAGTAGCACCCGAGCCTCAGCATGTTCAGCGGTCGTCTGTGGATGTGCAGCTACTGGGAACTAAAACATACCCCATGCGCGCGACGCTGTGGCGAGGCGCGCCACACGTGCCATGTGGGCCACTCACGCCAGGTGCGCCAGGCACCCCTGGGTCCCAAGCGTGCCAGGCACGCTTGGCGCGATGGTTGCGCCACGTGCTCCACGTGCGCCATGTGTGCCGCATGCTCTAGCCGCGCCAGGTGCGCCACGTTCGGGGCCCGCGCAGAGTGCGCCAGGTGCGCCCGCGCACGTGACAATACAACGTGGGAAACAGATCGGCCCACACCATCCTTATCGAACACCAACATACCATCTCGGCGGGGGAGCCTTTGGGGGCCTCTTTCGGGTCTCTAAGAAGCCTGTTGAGGGCCTCTCGAGAGCCTCGTGGGGGCATCTTGGGCGCCTCCTGGGCACGTCTCGGGGCACTCTTGGGAGCCTTGGTGGCCATCTTGGAGGAGATCAGTCAAAGAAGGGAGGGTCCTCAATCAGGACCGCCCCATGGAGCCCTCGAAACCGCCTCTTGGACCTCTCGTGGGGCGGGCCGTCTTGGGGGCGCTCCTGGGCGCCCTTAGGGCCGTTGAGACCCTCTTTGGTTCCCTTGGGGCTCTCGTGGGCCATCTTGGAGCAGTCTTGGGGCCTCGGAGGGCAGTCGAAAGCGAAACGGAAAGAAGGCACCCACCATTAACGTTCCGTAGGTGCTTGAAGGATCTTGGCTTCTTGCTGGTTTCCTTGGCAGGCCCCGTGGTCTCTTGGAGCCGCATTGGGTCGGTCTTAATTAAGGACCTCGTGGAGCATGCCGGGAGCCATTTGGGGTTATCCTGGGTCATGTTCGGCCATCATGGTGGTCATCTTGGGCTCTCCGAGGCCCTTTTGAAGCCATCTTGGGCGCTCTGACCGCTCGCCGCCCCCCCCCTCCCTCCAGGGTCAACATACCCTCCCCGCCTGCAAGTTGTCTCGCTCACTCCCACCCGCCCTCCCAACACAGAAGTAGCACCCGAGCCTCAGCATGTTCAGCGGTCGTTGTGACAACACACGTTGGGAAACATGCCGGCCCCCACCATCCTCGTCGAAAACCAATGCACCGCCGCGGCGGGGAGGCAAGCATGGTGCCTGGAGGGCCTGCTTTCTTGACAGGCGCGTTCGAGCGGCATGCGCGACCGCAGGCGCCCCGCGGGGGTGGGGCGCCCGACTTCGTAGGGAGCCTTGGGCAGCTGCGCGATGCGGCGCGCAGCTGAGGCAGCGAGTTCTGCTGCGCTGCCCCTGGCGTAGCGACGGTTGCCGAGGAGCAGCAGCGCCCGCCCCCGCGCTCGCCGCTGGTCCGGCACGCTCGTACCACCCGAGAGCTCAGCATATCCCGCGGCGTTGGGACGAGGTGCGCCACGCGCGCCAGGCGCGCCGCGTGCGCCAGGCGCGCCAGGCGCCCCTGGGGCCCAAGCGTACCAGGCACGCCTGATGCGCCAGATGCGCCACGTGCTCCACGTGTGCCACTTGTGCCGCATGCTCCAGCCGCGCATGATGCGCCACGTTCGGGGCACGCGCTGAGTGTGCCAGGCGCGACCACGCACAGCGGGAAACATGCTTGTTGTAAAGCAGTGCCATGCCGCGCCAGAGGGGCCATCATAATATCTGGTGGCCTGCACAGCAGGCAATATGGCAGCACCCCCGCCGTCCTTGCCAAACAAGAATTCAAAGTGATTGCGGGGTGGCCGCGCATGAGTCAGATTTAGATCTGGCCGCGAAGTGCAGGTTGCATTGTGTTTTGACTGGGATGGTGAACTTGCGCACTGCAGGCTATATTTGCCCCCCCCCCCCCCCCCCCCCGCCATCCCTGTCAAAGAACAAGACAAAGTGCTCGCGGGGCCCCCGAGCATGACCCAAGGTTTTGCCCCAAAGTGTATTTCGTATTGTCCTATGACAAGGATAGTGGGGGCGGCGTTGTCATTGGTCCTGGTTGTCTGCTGGCCGCCTGTGGAAAGGGCGTTTGTTAAAAGGGAAAAGTGATCAAGCTAACCCAATCCGTGAGCCGCATCGCTGACTCCCTCTAGCCTTCCCAACACAAAGGTAGCATCAGAGTCTGGGGGGTGGAGGATGGGGGGGGGGGGGGGCGACCACACTGAGCTCATGAGGCTCGTCGGAAGCGCAGCCCCTGCCAAAAACAGTGCACAGTGATTGCGGGGCGCCTGCGCATGATCCAGATTTTGCCACAAAGTGTACTTGTATGGTTTTCTTCCGGGACCGCGGGCTCGCACAGAGCAGTCAATATCAGGGCACCCACCGCCCATCCAAAATGATCGCGGGTCGCGCGCGCATGGACCAGTTTTTGCAGCACAGCGTGCGTTGCATTGGGCGTTGACAGTATGATGGGCCTGTACAGAGCGAACATGCTCAGGGTCCCACCGCCGCCCCATGCAAAAAAGCAATGCGTAATGATCATGGGACGCCCACGCACGGTCCAGATTTTGCCGCAAAGGGTATGTTGTACAGTGGGCGGCTTGAAGAAGGAACACTCCCTTTTCAAAAGGGGCTCGGTCGTTCTCGGGCTTGCATGCGTGATCTATCGCCCCTTGATGCGCTATTCATCATGTATCGCTCCGTATGCGTTACTCCTTGGAGAAAAGGGACTTCGTTCCTTCTGTGTCGTTCCTCAGGTCAGGCCGATGGCTGTATTATGCTTCGACAGGCATGACA